CCACGTGACTCACCTTGTGCTTGGCTCGAGACTTTACAGGACATGGCTCGCAACCGACACCAGTGGCGCGTTTGCTGCCGTCTCCTAATCGGATTGTCTGTTTAAAGTGTGTTTGGTGCTGAGTTATCTGCGGGGTAATGGCTGATTATGACGTGTGGCAGTGAAAGCCGCAAGGAAGCTGTCTCGCCGATGCCGCCCTATCTTTGCACGATAGCCAGCTGCTTGTGACAGTATGTCGTCTACACATGGTGTAGGCGCCTTGACCCTGAATGTTTGCTTAGGGCATTAAGGTTTTCAGGTAAGTCCCCCTTCTCTCCCTCTTCTTATTCTTTATTTCAGGTCCTCATTCTGCTGCGGACTTTGGCTTTATTTATAGGTCTCTTATTGACCTTCGACTTCTAGGATTGGAAGGTCAGCTACCAAGGTTAGTGGTTCCCCATATCTTTTGCCGAGGTGTCAGGTGGTTTTCAATCACATGCAGAAGTAGAACATTCCGGAACGTTCGAAATCGATGCGATAATCGTTAATAATCGATTAATCGCTAAACTAGTGGATTTCCAATGCAATTCTTACTTTTTCCCGGACACCTCCCCTCCTGAGATATCGTCCGAGGTATAAGACGAAAGCCTAGGATTAACTTGCAGTCTTCGGGACGGTGTCCTTTGCCTGTCGGTCCACCTCCTTGGCGGAAGCCTCTGAGAACTTTGTTCAGATGTTCTTGTTCTGGATTCTTTGCTCGACTGTGTGCAGTCGTCCACTGCTACCTTCGGCAGGTTGAAGCTTTCCACCAGTAAATCGAACAGGAGGTCAGTAGGCCTTGCTTGTTCTGGTTGGCAAGATGTGGGCCGTAACTGGTTTGCATGCCGTAGCCAGATCTGTGCTCCCACCATCACGTCATACATGACGTTTCCGCGCTTGCTTTTGACCGTCCCTGGTGTCCATTTCACATGGCCTTCCCGGTAGTCACGCACTAGCACCTTTTGTCCAGGCGTAAAAGATCGCTTCTTTGCTCCATGCCGCCGGTTAAAATCCTGTTCCATTCTGCGGTTTCTTTCACCAGCAGAAGACTCCGAGCGCGGTCGGATGGCGTCGAAAGGCATGCGGAGCTTCCGGTTCATCATGGCCTGTGCTGGAGAGACTCCGTCTGACGCTTGTGGATTCGGTGTTGATCGGTAGAGGAAAAGGAACCGGTCAACCACCTCCTCTATACGTCCCTCCCCTTTTGATTTGTGGAGAGCTCGCTTGAATGTATCGACAAACCTTTCTGCCTGGCCATTCGAGTGTAGGTGAAACGGCGGCGAGCGAACGTGCTGTACGGCGCATTGCTTGCAAAACTCCGTAAACGTTGCTGAAGTAAATTGTGAGCCATTGCCGGTGACAATTGTCTCAGGACAGCCGAATCTGCTAAAGGTTTGGCGCAGTTTCGATATGGTGGCATTGGTAGTTGTGTTCTCCATAAGAAATACTTCAGGCCACTTGCTGTATGCATCGACTATAATGAGGAAACTTCGGCCGTTGATCGGTCCCGCAAAGTCGACATGGATGCGGCATCATGGATTAGTAACTTTTGGCCATGAATAGAGTACTGATTTTTGTGGCGCTTTCAAGACATTGGCACACTGTTGGCAGCGTTTGGCTATTTCTTCTAGCTGTTTGTCCATGAACGGCCAGTATACATAACTGCGGGCAAGCGCCTTCTCCCGGTTGATTCCAGGATGCCCGGCGTGGAACTGCCGAATGAGACGCTCCTGAAGTGCCTTGGGGATGACCACTCTCTCCGAAAATAGTATGCAGTCGTTTACAATAGAGAGCGAGTGTCTCCGCTGGAAGTACTGTTGCAACTCGGCAGATGGACATGAACGTGGCCAACTTGTTTTGTGAAATCGTGTAACCTTTTTGAATATTGGGTCCCGAAGTGTTTCGGTTCGTACAGCTTCTGCGGTAATTGGTAGACCGTGCAATGCCTCCGTTACCAGAAAGTTGGCGTCAGGTTCAATCTCGACCGAGGCAATGATTGTGTCCTCATGTTCTTACTGGCGGGCATCAATTAGGCGTGACAGTGCATCCGCTTGGTCAGTGGAAACTGTCGACTGGTATTGGATCTCAAAATCATATCCCCTTAAGGTAAGAGCCCAACGTTGTAGCCGGTTGGCTGTGTAGGCCGGGATGCCCTTTTTCGCACCAAAGATAGCCAGCAAGGGCTTGTGATCTGTCAGAAGCTTGAAGCGGCGGCCGTATAGCACTTTGTGGAATTTCTTGACTGCGTACACTATGGCCAATATTTCTTTCTCAATCTGGCTGTAATTCTTCTCGGCCTTCGTAAGTGTTCTGGCGGCATAGGCGATTGCCTTCTGAGATCCATCGGCGTAGGTGTGTGATATTACTGCACCAATCCCATGGCTTGATGCATCTGTGGTCAAGGCAATCTCTTTGGATAGGTCAAAATGAGTCAAAAGCAAGTTTGAGGACAGCAGTGACTTGACGCGTTTGAAGGCATTCTGGAATTCTGATGTCCAGTTCCATGTTTGAGCTTTGGCTAATGGCTTGTTTAACGGGGCACACAGGCGGTGCATCTCAGGCAAGTATGCGCTGTAGTGGCTGATGAGCTCACAAAAGGAACGCAAGGACTGTGGATCTGTTGGCGGAGGCATTTTTCTAATAGCTTCTATGTTTTCCGGATCTGGTCGACGTCCATCCTTTTCGAGGATAACACCGAGGTATTTGATGATCGGCGTGAAAAATGTGCATTTATCCTCACGGATCCGGAAACCGTACGACTGTATGCAACCAAACACTTCATCCAATCGGTTAAACAGTTCTTCCGGTGTTCGGCCCATCACTATGATATCATCCAGATATGCAGCGGTTCCAGAAACGCCCGCTAGCATGGTGTCCATCAACTGTTGGAAGATGGCTGGCGCCGTTTTCACACCAAATGGCAAGCGGTTGTATTGGGATAGCCCACGATGAGTGTTGATCATCAACAACTCCCTCGAGACTTCATCAACATCCACTTGAAGATAAGCATCTGATAGATCAAGGTTAGCAAAGTACTTACCACCATTCAACTTTGCAAAGATATCCTCCGGTACAGGTAACTGGTAGTGGTGGTCGTCCAGCGCGGCGTTGAGGCCAGTTGAAAAGTCAGCGCAAACGCGTACCTTGCCATTTGCTTTCTTCACTGCGACAATAGGTGCGGCCCATGATGAGTAGTTGACGGCTGTGATGACTCCGGCACGTTCCAGTCGATCGAGCTCTTGCTCAACGGTTGACATGGCTGCATATGGTACCGGTCTTTTGGCCTTGAACACTGGTTTAGCACCTGGTCGCAAGTTCAGTGTCGCTTTGAATTTTGTACAATGGCCCAAGCCATCCTGAAAGACAGAGGCAATTTTGCGCCTCAGGGTACGCGTCATGTCTTCGACGGACTTTGATGATGGGTCTGGACTTGCTCGAGCTCGGTTACAGATCTGATTCAAGGGAACATGGGGGAGATTCAACTTTTCAATCCAGTCGAGGCCAAGGAGGTTCAAATTCGGCCGGTCTGAAATGTAGCATGTTCCCGACTTTTCCACAGCTTGGTAAGCAATCTTGCAATTGAGTTCGCCCACTAAGTTTAACACACCGCCGGACACATTGTGTGCAACTTTCTGAGACTCGATCATCTTCGGCCTCTTTATGTGATTCCATGTGCTCCTGGAAATAATCGTGATGTCCGAGGTCGTGTCAAATTGCAGTTTCGTTGGGATCCCATTGATCAACACACTGATAAATCGTCGCCTCGATTTACACTCGCTTTGGAATGCGGCAACTATGGACAGAGACTCGGCGCCATCCCTTCTAGAATTACCCTTTCGATAAGACTTCACTTTCTTCTACCGGACTTGACTGCAGCATTGCTCTTTATGCCCACGCTTATGGCACGTTTGACAAATATGATATTTGAAGGGACAAAAGCGAGCGAGATGCCATTCGCCGCAAGACAAGCATGCTGTGGGCGGTTTCTTCGTATGCCTCTTGAAGGGTTTGCTTGCGTTGGCGGTCCTGGCCTTTTTCACGAGTTGCACGGTATCTGGTGGTGCGAGACCATTGCGTTCGACCATGGCAGTGTCGTGTTTTAGAGTGAGCAGCCGTTTGCATTCGCTTACGAGGGCTTTCAGTGTCAGATCAGGTTAGCTAAAAGTCGCGTTCGGATCTCAGCATCACTGGGCGATTGTAGAGCGCTGACGAAAATGAGACACTTAAAATGATCGTCCGTTAAAGAGCGTAGTTTGAATCGTTCACACTCATGGTTAATCATGTTTGCTAGGGCCCCAAAATCGTCCGCTTCCTGTTTGAAAATTTTTAGGCATTGATAGCAAATTCTAAACAAAGATACCGACTCACCAAAAATTTCCTTCAACTGCGACGCTACTTCATCAAACGTCAGGTCCTTCGGCTGTTTGGGCAAAATGTGGTCTATGAACCTTGAATGTTCACTTATTCCGAGCTTGCGGAACAGCAATCGCACCTTCTAGGAGTCGTCCTGACGAATGAAGTCCGTCTGGAACATGTATTCCCAGCGCTTGAACCACGCTTCGAAAGTGCATCCAGAATCCGCATCATAATTGAATTCAGTGATGGCGTTCGTGAGAAGATCCACAGAATTCGCCTGTGTGTCCCGCGCCGCTGCTCCTGTTGTCTGCAAACTCAAACATTGTGTCAGATTTTCAATCATTTTCATTTGAGCTTTCTGTTGAAAAAGCAGCTTTTGAAATTGTTCAGCAGAATAATTCATCACATTTCCAATTTTCTCCGTCGCCATTTGTTGTAATCTCACTAGACGCAACTCCAAAAATAACAATTCACTGCTCCACAAAACTTCTAGCGCAACCGAAGGAAAAAAGCAAAACGCCAATGACTTTGACAAAGTAACGTATTAATCGTCGCCAACGAACACTGTACAACTGCTGCGGACATTGGCTCTATTTATAGGTCTCTTACTGACCTTCGACTTCTAGAATTGGAAGGTCAGCTACCAAGGTTAGTGGTTCCCCATATCTTTTGCCGAGGTGTCAGGCGGTTTTCAATCACGTGCAGAAGTAGAACATTCCGGAACGTTCGAAATCGATGCGATAATCGTTAATAATCGATTAATCGCTAAACTAGTGGATTTCCAATGCAATTCTTACTTTCTCCCGAACAATTTCAATCTCCTATTCACGATGAAACCACCAGGCTTCGCGTTCTCTTCTCTGAGGTCTTTTCAAGTCTCGTTGGGTTCGATCTCAGCTGCAATACGTCGGCGAGTATCCGGACTTCGAGAGACATCATAGAGACTCAAAGTTCAGGTTGGCAATTTGATTTGCCACATGAAGACGCCTGCTGCTAATAACCTCTGGTGAATATGCGACTGGAGGCCCTCTACTGTGTTCAGGGCGCGCTTACTCATCTCGGATGCCAGCATAATTTGATGCGCATTCATAGCATATGGCTTTGCTGGCTGGCATGTATCGCAGCGCATACAGCGTCGAAGCATGCGCCCGCCTAAGCGAGCTCTTAGTTTGACACAAATAGGCGCGTAATCAGATTGCACGCTCCTGCTCCGAATTGAACGACATTTTTAGGTACAGCCTCCCTTTAGCTTAACTGATCGCGATGTGTTTGATTTTCCTCCATGGCTGGTTCGAGTCGAGTGGGTGCCACCTATCTCTTCTACGAGTGCTGTCCCGGAAGTTAGTGCTCGCTGGAAATGGACGAGCATCTTCACAGATGTGCAGCGGTTGCTCACCGTTATCACTACAGGAGCATACAACGTGGTGGCCGCCCAGATGTAGTTCAGCAGTGTACAATATTTTCCTTGGGATTCCAGTTCGCTATCTTGCACCATAGTATCCGTGCTATTTCAGTAACGAATGAGCTCGTTTATTTGGTGATATAATTCATCTTTCACCGAATCAGCGCTGCAGTTTGTAGGGCGTGTGCCGCGCTGACGAACTTGCATCTTTTGTCTGCGCGCGACTTCGAGGCTTTGCACGTGCCATCCATATTGACGGCGCACATTCGGCTGTTCATTGGGTTCACGTCAACCAGGGCAGCTTCAGCCAGCTTACTCAGAGCAGTGCCCACACCAGCTTGACCAGTATTTGAAGCTGCGTTCTCACCAGATAGTCGTAATGCGAACGCGCCGCCAGTGTCGGTTGTGGCGGATCTCAGTATTCACGGAACTCGCATCTTCCAGACGGGTTTCCGAGAAGCAGCAGATGTTAATCGATAGGGTCTCTGATGTTCGCGCAGGTGCTCCCTGTTGGCAAATCTGCAGCAAAATGCGCATGTTGAGACATGCTATACTCAACGCATTGTTGGTCGCTCATTGACACCCTAGCCATAAGTCACAAGTCGTCATAATTACACAGGAGCTATAGGTGCGAAACACTTCAACTAACTGCCGCTATACATAAGTTATGATTTATGAATAGCGAGATACTAACTTCCTTAGAAAACAATAACTAAAAAGCATGTATGATAATGCTAAGTATTTTTATACATGCAGTGTGAAATCGTTTTTGGAGGGTGAACATAAGCGGGATGATGGGTGATGAAGAGACGCACAACACAAATGCCACTGAGGTTTGCTCTTCGCAATGTCAACTACTGTATCCAACCAAACGTGTTCGTCGCGTTTGAGACTCCAGTCTCACAGTCAAGCTTCACAAACCGACGCGAAATTGGAAGTGAGGGACTTCATTCCTCTTGACTAAGTCATCGCTCGGCCCCCTACTCTTCCATCCAGATTCGGTTAGCACAAACAGCGCATGACGCGAGAGTCCGTATGCTCTCATGCGTACTTTGATAGGCATTCAGAACATCTGACTTCGCTACTTGGCAAGTATCTATGCGCTTACAGTGTGGATGGGGACATCTGTCGAAAGGCACATGCGAGTGCATGGTCGGATTGCACGTTTGTGCTCCGATTTGAGCGACAGTTTTGACACAGCCTCTCCAGTATACCTGATCGCGATGTGTTTAATTTACCTCTATGGCTGATTCGAGGCCGTTGGGGCCCTGTATCTCTTTTGCGGGGGTGTGTCGGAAGTTAGTGTTCGCGGGAAATGGACGAGCATCTTCACGGATGTGCAGCGGTTGCTCACCGTTATCCTTACAGGAGCCTACAACGTGCTGGCCTCCAAGATGCAGCTCACCAGTAGACAATTTTCCATCTTGGGCTTTCAGATCACCAGTCAGCACCACAGTACCCCTACCCTTTCTGTGACGGACGAGATCGTTCAGTTTGTAACGTAATTCTCTTTTCTGAACCAGTGCTGCAGTTTTGTGGGCACGTAAGCAACAACGACAAACATGCACCGTTTGCCTGCGCATGGCTTCGGAGCTTTGAATGAGCCGGCCGGTCCGATGACACGCTTCCGGCTGTTCACTGAGATCTAATGGATTATGACATCTTCATCTATTGGGCTCTTTAAATGTAGGGTGTAAGAAGTACGCTGATACTCAATACAGACGTTTTAGTACCGCGCAACCACCAAAATTCGCTCGTGGGCAAGGAATACTCCGAGCGTCGCTTGATCCCGCACGCAGACTCAAACCCGCGCCCTCGGAATACAAGGTATGCTTGTGATATTTTAACCCACAGGCAGGCCCGTGAACCTAAGGCAATGCCAACACCGACTTGACCGAGATTTGAAGCTGCGTCATCTCCGGACAAGCGCACTGAGAATGTGCCACCAGTGCCGCATGTGGAATCTCGCATAGTAAACAAAGCTCGAATCTTGCTGTTGGGTTTCCCTTAAACAACGGATATCAATTCATAGGGTCTCTGGTGTTCGGGCAAGTGTTGTCTGTCTGTAACAAATTGCGATAAGTCCCCGATGGCGTGGCATCGTGCAAGGTTTCCGATTACATTAGTCAGGTTGTGTCGAAGCAGGCATGTTCGACAGTTTACATGCGTTTCGATTGCTCTCTGAGGACAAACAGTCTTTGTTGTGCACTTGAAAATCGTGAGACCCGACGGTGTAAGTGGTGTCTCAGCAGTAGCTTCGTGGAAACGTCGCTCTCTTCTCTGTAGCCTGACCGGCATTACTCAGGTTTGCAGCGATCCATTCTGTCCGCCGATTTGTCCAGCTGCCGCTTCGACTACTGCACAATTAAAAACTGGATCTGAGTAACATCTGTACTGCCATCTCGTCGGCGAATGTTGCTTGCTGTCGCGGAACACAGCGATCTCAGCTGGTCTATATTTCAGCAACTGACTGCGAGCCTTCCCTCTGGCCGTGAATTCTAGCAGTCAAGACGGGCTATTGCGATTTAAGCGTCTAAGTTTGTTTTAAGCTGCCGCAATTTGTTTTACTTCAAGGACATCTCAAGGCAGATTGCAATCACAAGCTGCTAGTCAGACAACCTGTGTTAGACGACACAAAAACCCCCGACCTACTCAATTGCATGGTCGTTTTGGTCTTCGATTTAGTTGCCGAATACAGCCTTCCAGGATATCTCCACTCTCATAGGATGCTACTTGGCTTGTACACACAGATTCTCTTAAAGAAGTGCGATCCAATGTTTAAAGTGTCCTAAAACCTTCGGACCTGACAGCCTCTGGCTGGCTATAATTCAAGACGGTAGGAAGTGTTATTGCTATTCACGGACTTTTGGACCGATGAGAAAAATTTCAACTTCTTGGGAGAATCGCTTTTTGTCCCGATTCAGAAGAAAGGCTCCTGCGAAGATTGCGCCATCGTCCTGCAATTTTGTCCATCAATGCTGCACTCAATAATTTTGTGCCCTCCGTCGCAGACTTTCAGCTACTAAACAAGGGCTTTTCCTAGATGAACAAGCTGATTTTCGTCCCGGTCGAGGTTGCATCGACCAACTTTTCTCGAATTCCACCACTTCTAACGACGAACAACAGTCGTACTGTTCTTGGACATCCGGCGACATTTGATTCAGTACCTAGATCTGTTTTGTCGAATTGGCTTTTAGTTAGACAAAATTACGACTCGTGGTAAACTCCTCTTCACCTGTTATCGCTAGCGGCGTTGACCAAGATTGCTCCATTTAACCGTTCCTCCTTAATTAATGTGTTGTCCAGTGAGCATTAGATGTCCAAAACTTTGGTATTGAGCTTCTCTCTAGCGACCGAGTCAAGAACTTGGGTTACGCCGATGCCATCGCTTTGCTGGCCGATAGGATCTTACGCCTGCCTTGTGATTTGGAGGTCACGGGTTCGAGTCTGCTGAGGAAACCGGGAGACCCTCGCGATATCTTTAGCCCACGCACTGCTGGTGGTTGCGTAGCAGCGAAGTGTCGGTGCTGCGTACCAAGGTATTACTGATGACTTTTCGTTATCGCTATCCTGGGAGACGATCCACAAGCGAAATAATCAGCGGTGACTCAGGCTTTGAACTGAGAACGATGGCTACCCTAGCTTGGCCAGTGGTTGCCGCGTCAGGGTCTCCGGATGTGTGTAACCGTTAGTGTGTGGCAAGCCGGATACGGTTAATTTAACAGCCCCGTGACGGTCATTGATCTTATTTTCGGTCACGCAGCACACGTCAATGCCCGATGTGTCCAAACTGCGTGCTAATACAGCCTGTTGACCTACTTATCTAAGGGTACGAACTTGAAGCATCGCCAGGGAAATGGGACAGCGTGGCCTTATAACGGCCCTTTGCCGATATGCGTCTAATGAGTAATGCAGAATGATTCCTGTTGATGGAATATCTCCAGTGGCATCGCCACCGCTGGTGATTAAGCTTCGGATAATAGTGGGATGCTTAGTAATCCTGGGTCGGAAGGGGATAATAGAAGCAGCTAGACAATAAAGCAGCAACATCTTTTCGCTTATTCGCCCAATTGGATGCAACAGGTAAGGTGCCCCTTGATAATCTGCGCGACGGCCGATGCAGGATGTGGGTTAAGTTTGAAGAAATAGGGTTGAACTTGGGCTGAGATACTGACATGGCGCTGAAACATAGACAGGAGAACATTTCTCGTTCTTAACCATAGCCTATAGCTCGAAAGCCTGTTCGCAACGTAGCAGGGGGTGACAGCCATCCAGTTTTAGAGAAATGGATGCCAAATCATTCCTAGCCCGCAACCTAAAGTAACAGGAGCCTGATTTTGTCTGACTTATAACCATTGACCAACCTGGTAGGAGTAGCTCTCACTCACTATTGCTCAGATGGTCAATGAGGTACACAAACCGTCGCATCGCTTTAAGGTCCATTTTCGCTTCGACGTGTAGATATTGAACTCTTAGTTTTCTAATTCATTGTCCGGATACGCACATGATGACTGGATGTTAGTGCTCTGGTCTAACGAGTTTACGAGTAAATATTAAACGGGTGCTTGTTCGGTGACCGAATGGATTCCGCGCCTGCGCATTAGTCTGCAGATCAACCTTTTGAATCCGCATAGTTCCGGTGCTACCTCGCGGCATACCTAGCTGCCACGCGTCTGTCTGTGGTTGGTGTGCGGGTGTACTACTGATGCTTCTCTCTCTAGATGCTCACTTGAACATTCACGATTCACACTACGCGACACAGATATGAATACACCATCAAACATGGCATAGGTCACGCACTATCACACGTATTCAATCTATCCATTTGTAACACGAACCTTGAAAAGGAGGCTGAATGCGTGCTGAAAGCGCGGCCATATTTCTTAAACATCCGAGATGCACATCTTTCCAGCGGCCCTCAGGAATACGCACTAACTCAGTTGCCCACTGACGATCCAACGGGGGGAATTATTGCGTTTTTGGTGAAGAATGTTCGCAGCTGGACTCAGACAGAAAGTCACTACGCATTCAGGAAAGTGCTAAATGGCTGTTTCGTCCTATTAGGACTCGTCAGTAACGCGCATCCGCTGAATCCTGCCGGATTCAAACCAACGGGCCGCTGAGCCATGGGTGGCGCCAGCGAACCACTATGACTGATATCAACTGCGATATAGCACGGCTCATCTTCCACTGTCATATATGTTATGAACGTGCAGAAGACGGTGCTGGTCCCCAGAGCAACGACTGCAAACCACCGATAATCGAGGTGGCTACTGAGACGGTTATTGATATTTACTGCGCACTAGGGGGAATTATTGGGTTTTTGGTAAAGATTCATCGCAACTAGACTCAGGCAGAAAGTCACCACGGATCCAGGAAAGTGCTAAATGGCCGTTTCGTCCTATTGGGACTCTTCACTAGCGCACCTTCTAAATCCGCCTTTACTACCTCAGCGTCATGCTGTTTTCTCTGGTCTGTTAACAGGTAATTTACATATGATACACCGTGAGCTCATCGTTTCTTCTGCTTTATTACGTTATCGTTGCATTGCGGTTCAAATGACCAGTTTTCTGACCCTTGGCTGAATTTCATTGGTTTTCATTAGACAACGATTCGATCAAAGACTGCGCCAACTACGTCTGTCTTTCCATGATCTTTGGACTCGCTCATGCTGTCTTGTTTCACAGTGGTCTTGACTCAGGCACCAGGCCGTTTACGTTGCCAGGTCATATGATTGAACTGTGGTATTACGACTCATCGGCTACTATTTATGCCGTACTCGCTCCACCGCATGCATATTCAATCTACAAGTTACGAGTTCCATTCGACACCCCTCCTAATCATCTCTCTGTACCTTACTACTTGAAGCGCGTTCTTGTGCCTTCATCCTTTGTGCAATTTCAGTGTTCCTCACCAATTGTTCTTCGCTTCACAGATGTTTATGCGGCGTAGCAAGTTCAAGCATGTGTTTGGCAAACCGGCAAAAAAGGAATTTTGTTATGAAGACATTCGAATCACGAAAAGCAGCTGTGATGCTCGCTTTTGTGCTGTTAACCCGAAATATCTAGCTATTATCACCGAGGCAGCAGGTGGCGGTGCGTTTTTGGTCCTTCCCATTGAAAAGGTGAGTATTGCATTTGTCAGATCGTCTTCTTTGCCTGTTGTAGTAAAATTTGCATCTATATTCTTCGTATTATGCCAAATTTTACTTCCCAACTGTCCATTGTTGTCTACGTCGGTTAACCGACTGGTGTTGTTATTTACTGTCTGATTGTTAGCTGTTTAGTTAACCATTAGGCGCGATATATCCTCAGGTTTATGGTTCTTAGTGCCCTCAACCCCGTTAATTGTGTCTTCTTTATATTGATTGATTTGTCTTTTATCTCTCCCGGTTTGGTGTACGCGCCTGAACTCCTAAAGTCTATCAATCACTTTTGGATCTTATATCAAGTCCTCCTTTTTTCAGTCTCTACCGTTGTGTTCGTTTTTTTTCTTACGTGTGTGCGGTAGGGAAATACCTGTAATGATGCCGACTCTCCCAATCGCAAGTGATGGTGGTTACGTCATACTAATGACACTAGCAGCTGATTCCATTTCGCACTCCCTAGGTTGGTCGTGTAGAACGCGATGCCCCTTTGGTTGCTGGTCACAAAGCCGCCGTCCTTGACATTCAGTGGTGCCCCCACAACGACGACCTCATTGCCAGTGCGTCAGAAGACACCACCGTCAAAGTTTGGCAGATCCCTGAAGGTGGATTGCAACCGAAAACCAATTTAACCGTTCCTGTGGCCGACCTAGTAGCACACCAGCGCCGCGCAGGTCTTGTTGTTTGGCACCCCACGGTGGAACACGTGTTGCTGTCTGCAGGTAAGCGTAGCTTCTCAGCCTTTTGCTTTCGCATCACTAAAACAGTCGACAGATCCGGCCCCTGTTTTCTCTCTGGCCCGATTGTCCGTACCCATTTTATTGTGGCTGATGTAACCGAAATGCCCAGTGTCTATCGCCACGCTAGTGATGTTTTTCCATTTCTTGCGTGATAACTACTTTTCACGATTAAGCTTACCTGTTCCATTCCATACCCCTTTATTTTTAATTTATGATGTATCTCGGCTCTTCTCTTCAGACATTTAGTAGTGAGTCCGAGCGATTTCCTCACCTTAATCATCTGACGCACTGTGGCACACGTTCCGCTTTTCAAGGATGTTCCACAAACTTTTCGAGTGACCTACTAGTGAACCATGATAGTCATTATTTGCTATATTACTGGACGTAGATTAACGATGGCGGCAAGTAGAATAAATCACATGTAAGCGAACTGGGTTGCAGCTGATGACAGCGTTTCGGCTAGAAATGTAAACGTTTACGCGCATACGCAGCACTATAGGTTAGGTCTCTGACCGACCCATCCACAAAATTTCATTTAACCATCTACATTGTGCAACTGGTCTTTTCGCCTTTCTGGTTTCACTGCATATCGAACTCACTGTCACACATCCACTGAGTTACAACTGCCCTCAGGTAACTTACCTTCTATGAACTACGCAGGGAATTATTCCGTCCACAATCGAACAAAGCACCCGGTCCGGATAAATTGTCTCATATCATCCTCAAGTAGTCTAGTGATTACATGGCACAGCCTTTCGCCGACTTGTACACATGCGTAAAGCAACTAGAGTTTACTCACAGTTTTCAAAGTCAAAGTAAGGAACCTGCAGATATCGGCCAGCTACATGCACATCGGTTACATGGACGAGTTTTACGATCCTTATTATTTGAAAGGTGCTAGCCCGAACACTTAACTGATCCCCATCTGCTCGTGCCAGCGTATCTCACACATTCGGTGCTTTAGATAATAAAAATTAATCTACGCGCATATGCTTCCTGAACTAGAGAAACGCATTCGGTTGTGTGAACCATAAATTACTGTTGTGCGATTTACTCGGTTTTGGAGTTCAACTTACTGTTGTTTTTCTACTGAAGGATTACATTACCAAGTGTGTCCAGTTAACCTGGCTTTTGGAAAAGACTTCATCGCTCACCACATATTGCGGGGATTCTCAGGGAGTTAATTTGTCTCTGTTCTTGCTCCCAACTTACGTAACCCCACTTCATTCCCCGGAAGAAGCGATCTTGCTTAAATGTGCGGATGAAGTAATCCTAGGTGTCGATCACAAAATTGGAAAGTCGTCGGCTAAATTTCAAACTCTCCTAGATAGCTTCGAATTTTGATCTAAATACCTTTACCTATTGTTGAACAGCTCAAAATGGAACCATGTTCTTCTCTCACTGCCTAAAAGTAGTCGCTATCGCCAAATCCTTATACAGTGTCCACAGCCTTGCATCGATGGTTAAGTTTTGAACTTTTCGACGTCAGTGGAATTCCTGGGAGAGACATCGGGCAGTGGTCCTACGTGGTATCTTCAAATGAACGCTGGTACATTGTACCGACGCTTCGTTGCCACCTGACCAGCACATCGCGCGAGGTCGCTCACAGCTACGCGGTTTCGAACAGGTGACTGGAGTACTAGGAAATCGTGTACTCCCTTCGAACATCGGTAATCTAAAACCTGCACATGCACGAGGCTGTTTTTGTCTAGCCTCTAACTCTTGGCTAATCTGTTATGACTCGCTCTGACGGTGCAAAATACACAATATACATAGCAGCAGGCAAATCCTCATGTGGTAAGTATAATAGCCAACATGAACATTGGGTCTCTTCGCGGTCTCTGGAACTGATCGACGCTCGCCGGCATATCCCGGCTGGAAGCGAACACAATGAAACTCGCAAAGAGCTCCGGGCAAAACTCCGTGCTAGCCTGAAGAGAGACCGCGAATTTTGGTGGTCACTTCGTGCGTCAGAGATGGAAGTGGCCGCTGCCCTTGGTAACCATCATAAGTTATTCCATCTGGTACGGGAAATGGGCAGCAGGGGACCTGGTGTTAGTGAAACTATACGTGACGAGAGTGCACAGCCTATCCACGATTTGTCAAAACGTTTAAAGCGTTGGGCTGAGCATTTTCAAAAGCAATTTAATCGACCGGAATTGTTCGATTTCTCGCCCTCCAGTGATCGCTCTGCTCCGTGGGCTGCCCTTTGGATCCGTCCTCTCGCTCAGAAGTCAACCGTGAGATCGGACTGTTGAAGTTGAACAAAGCCGCGGGACCAGATTATCTTCATCCAACCCTCTTCAGATTAGGGGGACCTGTTCTTGTTGATGCTTTACATGAATTACTAATGAAACTGTGGATGCAGGAGACTCTCCCAACCGACTGGAGCCGCTCCGTTATTGTTCCCATCTTCAAAGAAGGCTCGCGTTCGGAATGCGGCAACCATAGAGGAATCAGTCTGATCTCTATCGCCTCCAATTTACTCGCCTCCATAATGCTTCACAGACTGACTGGCGCTCGTGAAAGCCAGATTCGTGAGGAGCAAGCCGGGTTTCGTCGGGGTCGTGGCTGCATCGACCACATCTTCACCTTGCGTCAGTTGTTGGAGCACCGTCACACAGATTGGCGGCCCACTGTAGTCGGGTTCCTCGACATCAAAGGTACCTTTGATTCGGTTGATCGATGTGCCCTTTGGAATTTTCTACTCAAGAAAGGTGTACCCGAGAAATATGTAAATATTATCCAAGCATTATACGCGCGTAGCACGGACAGAGTGAGGGCTTACGGCAAACTGTCGCCGTCATTCATTATCTCCATCGGTGTTAGACAAGGATGTCCGCTATCACCTTTCCTCTTCAACTTCGCCATTGACGAAGTCATTGCGATTGCATTTACCGGACATGATTTGGAGGGTGTGAAGCTACTCCCAGGAGAACGACTTCTTGACTTGGAGTATGCTGACGACATTTCCCTCATCTGTGACAGCTCCCAGACGTGCCAAGCTGCACTGGACAGATTAGCACTGGCTGTCAGCCGCTTCGGGCTTTACTTGACACTATCGAAGCGCAAAGCTTTCCTCCAGGATTGGCAGGGATCGCCTACTGCGCTGACCCTTGGTGGGGCTGTGCTTGAAGTCGTTCAGAACTTCAACTACGTGGGAAGTTGTATCATCGCTCTTGGGATTGAAGATGTGATCACAAACCGTATATCAAAAGCTCGAAGTGCTTTTGCTAGCCGTCGCCACCCATGGCGGCGGCGCGACATCACTCTCGCTCTGAAGGGTAGAGTGTACGATGAAGCGGTACGTTCGACCTTACTGTACGGTTGCGAAACCTGGCCCCTAAGATCAGCGGACATAATGAGTCTAGTTACCTTCGACCATCAGTGCCTTCGCAGTTTGGCTCACATCTGGTGGGAGCACCGCGTGAGCAACGAGCGTGTTCGACGCCTTGTTTACGGCACAGGAAAAGGAACTGAACCGCTCAGCACCGTCATTTCATGCACCAGGCTCCGATGGCTCGGCCACGTGTTGCGCATGCGAAGCGATGTCTTGATCCGGACTAATAAAGGCCCTCACTTCGGAACTGGCCTCGGTTGGAGTGTCACGGCACCCTGGTTGAGGTCTGAAAGATGATGAACACGTTTGGCTAGATACACTTGCTGACATGGCTAGGAGCCGACCTCAGTGGCGTTCGTGCTGTGAGTTTCTTTGTCCCTCCCCATCCGTTTTAGCCTCCACCTCCAACCACGATGTCCTTTCGTAGCGTAATATAATTTTACATAATAATTTTCTTATTGCCTAGTAGCCTGCTAGTAGCTTACCGGAACGATGCTCATCCGTTGCTGGTAGCGCAACTGGCATGCAACTGTTGTATTTATTTTCCTTTTCCTTTGTGTATTGCCGCACAGTAACTGAGGTGTTTCCAACCTCTAGCTAACGTGTATAATAATGATGATGATAGCACAATAGATAACTGAGGCACGCAAACCATCACACCACGGTAAGGTCAAGCCTCATTGCGATAGACCAGCCTCATCGCTCAGATTTCGAACTCATTCAGTACTCGAACGTGAGATCGGACTTTTGAAGTTGAATAAAGCTGCGGTACCAGATCATCTTCCTCCAGCCCTCTTCAAATTCAGACCCTTCTTTTGTTGATCGTTTACACGAATTTCTAGTAAAACTATCGTAGTAAGAAACTGTCCCAACCGACTGGAGCCTCTTCATTATCGTCCCGATCTTTAAAGGCGGACCGCGTTCAGAATGCGGAAACCATAGAGGAATCAGCCTGATCCCCATCCAATTCACACTGCTTGCTTCTGTAATCCTTCATTGACTGACACTCGTAAAAGCCAGGTTCGTAAGAAGCAAGCCGGGTTTCGTCGAGGTCGTGGATGCATCGACTGCATATTCATTTTAAAGGGCATCAGCAGTACGCCGGTACGCTGTACTGCAACCACCACCAGTCGCACGTGGTTTAAGGATACTGCGAGGGTCGCCGTGCCTCTACGCATGCCCGAACCCTCGCCGCAAATTACGAGTCAAGCTCGTTACCTCTAGGCTACGGGCAGGCATATTCACTTTGCGTCAGTTGCTGCAACACAGTCACATATGTTGGCGGCCCGCCATTGTCGTGTTCCTCGACTTCAAAGGTGCCTTCGAGTCGGTGGATCGATGTGTTCTTTGGAACAGTCTGCTAGGGAAAGGTGTGCCGCAGAAGTAAATATTACGCGAACGCTTTACTCGCGTAGGCTTACGGCAATCTGTCGCCGCCCTTTAATATCTCCAGCGCTGTAAGAAAAGGGTGGCTGCAAACACCTTTTTTCTTCAGCTTCGCTATTGAAGAAGTTATGAAGATCGCGTTCACAGTACACGACTTGGACGGGGTGGATCTGCTTCATAGTGAGCGACCTCTTGACTTTGAGTTTGCTGACGATATTTCCCCCATATGTGACAACTCCCGAACGTGCCAAGCGGC